TGGATGGGAATGGAGAGTCGTCTAGCAAAAGAATTACAGGGAAAATGCGCAAGAAATGAAACAGACAATCAGGTTGTGGAAAGGACTCCAGCTGGGCTTCAGGGTGTGGGCACATTTATTGGGCACAATAGAAAACACACTTAGAACCACTGGAAATGGGGCACAGGGGGAGTGAATCGATGTGTTTGTCACTGGAAACACACTATCCTCCCTTAAAGTTACATTTAACGTTTTGTTTACATAGTGACGTTCATACTGACAGTAATTTGTGAGTATCTATAATGCACATTTTCTTATATTATAAAGTTCTACTAAATTGTTAAATTAACGAACAATGAGTATTAAATTCTTGTCGGTTTTCTTGGTTCTTGGCTCTTTTGCAAAATACAATGAATAACAAAATCAACACTAAGCAGTCATATGGCTGACTAGATGAGAGCTGTGTGATGTTTCTGTGCGATGAAACTGGGGAACTAAAAGGGTACAACGGATTTTTGGTGCCATAAATAACTTTCACTCATTATATTCTTTACTGTGAAATAAGTAGTTTTTATTTATTGATTTGATATTTATTAAGACATCTTCACGTTTTCTGACGCTGAAAATAATAATACTAACAATGTATATTTTTGCTGTTTTGAGAATTTTTAACCTAAGGTGCTGTCAAAGAGAGGGAGGATTCTTTGGGTTTTCAGTAATCAGTCTCTCCTCCTCGCATCTCCTCGCATCTCCCTCTCATAGTCGCGGAGGTAGACGGAGAGGGGGAGAGCATTACGTCCTTGTGCACCCAGATCACGTCTGCGTTTAGTGTCCCTGTTGAGGACCCCTTCTCTTCCGTCCCGATGCCCAAGCCGACCTCGCCACAGTCACCCGCCACACCAGGTGTGCACCTTCAGCCTGAGTCTGTCTGCCTGCATGTTTTACTGGGGGGGGGGGGACTCCCATTTTCTCAGGGATTGTTTCTGCAAAAATACAAGTGCTCTCTGTTTTCCCTTAATGTGACCTGGATGCTGATTTGTAAGGTGTTTATGCCACAAGGAGCCCTAAGCTCTTATTAACATGCGCAGAAGAGCGTGAAATATTCTGCTTTTTATTTTATTTAAAGGATTCAGAACTTGGCTGGGTTATTTATTACATTGAAAACAAAATAAATAGCATTTACTGTAGGTATGTTACATATTTACTTTAGTTAACTACGAAATGGATAGGCAATTCTGGCACACCAAGAATAAGGGGGGGTGGGGGGGCTGTGTATATATTACATTATTACGTGATAAACACCTGTTATTTTGACATTGTGGGGACCATTTTTTCTGTCCCCAGAAGCGGAAACTCAATTATATAAAAGTCTGTAACTGCAGGCAAAAAACTAAAAATGCCAAAAGTCTTGTGTTTTGTTTGGTTACTTATGGTTAAAGTTTTGGATTAGAGTTTTTCCCCTTAGAAATGAATGGAAAGTCCCCACAAAGATAAGAATGCAGATCTGTGTGTCTGTGTATGTCTGTGTGTGTGTGTGTATGTGTGTGTGTGTGTCTGTGTGTCTGTGTATGTCTGTGTGTGTGTGTGTATGTGTGTGTGTGTGTCTGTGTGTGTGTGTGTTCTTACATTTAAATGCTTAGGATATATGCAGGTTTAATTATCCCTCATTATGGATGTGAGTGAAACATAAATGTAAATAAGGGAGTCCTTTGATTCCGTCTAACATGTTTTTCCTGTATGCACCATACTTCGTTAGGCATGCATGTATTTGTATGCTAGTGTGTGTGATTTGATGAAGAAATATGTATGCATCTTCCGATGCTACTTACATCTGCATGTATAGTCGATGTGAGTAAATGCACCCGCATGTCAGGTGTGCATCTTTCAACTTCAGCCCAACGTCCCGGCTTGTTTGCAGTGAACGGCTCTGCTCCAGACTGTCTTCCACCTGCTGCCAGCCTCTCAGCTGCTCCCCCATCAGCTCTGCCTCCCCCACTGCCGGCTCGGGACACAAACCCCTGGGCTAAGGTGCCCCCAGCTCCCACGGACTGTGGGCCTGCACTCTCAGGTGAAGCTTTTGCGGAACATCGGAAAACGGAAACATCGATTTCAGATTGTTTCGCGTAAGACGTTCCTATTTAGAATTTAGATGCAGTAAAAAAACAAAACAAATAAACATTACATGTTTTATTGAATAATTCAGCTTCACATATTCACATGGATGCCATTTCTGTCCATTTTTTTGAGTAATGTCTCTTACATCTCACAGGAGGAGATTGGCCAAGCCCCACCCCACCCAAGGCCAGCCCAGCTGCCCCCGCAGGCCCTCCCGCACACAGACGTACCCCTTCGGAGGCTGACCGATGGCTGGAGGAGGTTTCGAAGTCCGTGAGAGCCCAGCAGCCCGACCCCACAGCGCCTGTCCAGGCCTTTCCTGGCTCAGTTCCCGGTCCTGTAGCCCCTGGGGCTCCTGTGGCCTTCATTCCACCACCACTGCCCCCAGCTGCACCACTACCACCTCCCCGCCAACCTGTGTACCACACCCAGGCCCCCAGCGCTTATCCCATCGCCAATGGGTTGCCATATTCTCAGCCGAGTGTCCCCATAGTTGGCATCACACCTTCTCAGATGGTGGCCAACGTCTTTGGCTCTGCCACTCAAACACAGGTTCCACCGCAGCCCTACCCAAGTCCACTTGTCCCTTATACGCAGCATAATGTCGCCCCTATGTGTAATTCCTTTATTAAGCCTCAGCAGATTCCCTCCGCACCCCCTGTTCCTCTACTTGCACCTAATGGTAGTGCTACCTTCCATGGATCTGATAACTGGGTACCGACTTCCGTTCCCCCTCCATCCTCTCCTGCTGCGCCGCCCCCAGCCCATCTCCACACCGATGCCTTTGAGGTCCAGTGGGCTGCACTGGACAGTCGGGCTCGTCAACACACCAGTCCCTCGCCAACAAATCCATTCTCCAGTGAGCTGCACAAGTCCTTTGAAATCCAGCTTTAGGTCTTAGCTAAAAGGACCGAGAACTGGGAAGCAGAAGAAGCACCTGATGGGGGGAAAAGGGTTCAGACCTTCAGCTGCTCCACTTAAACAAAAAAAACCTGACCCCACTCTTCCAGAAGCCATATGGGCTAATGGAGTTCAGTAGGATGGTGTCCTTGCCGGTTCATGAGCTACCACAAGAAGTGACAGCAAGGCGATTTTTAGATGCTGCTCTGAAGACACTTAGCGATTATTGATTTTGTTTTCCATTTGAATGGTGTAAGAATCCAGCAAAGCACTTCGCTACAGACCTGTGGAAGAGTCCCAAACTACCCCCTGAGTCCTAAGAATGGGGGCCATTGGGAATGGGTGTCTGCTTCTTAGTCATGGGCTCCACCATGTGGCGGTTAAGTGAAATGACTCCCAAGCACTGAAGAGAACCGAGATTACAGAACTGAGAGGTTTTCACAACCTACTGAAGAATAAGTGAGAGAATGCCAAAATATTTATTTTTATGCAGTTACTATATTTTAAATAGCTTTTTGAATTTAACGAAAATAATCTTGCCAAAGGTGCAGGCCAGCTACTATCATTTGTGTATATGCAGACATATGGTTATTGTGTGTGTGTGTGTGTGTGTGTGTGTGTTTCATGTGCGGAGGATACACTGATCATTAATCATTGCTTTTGGTGTAACAGTTTAGTTGGAGTGAAGGAATGGCCTTATTTTTGTTCTCTCATTGGCAATATATGATTGTGTGTGTATTTTAGTGTAAATAGTCCTTATTGCAGCAACAATCAAGGGGACCTTGTGAGGAATATTCCCTGGCGTCTGGTCGGGAAACCGTTTGTTTACCAGACGACTTAAACGAGATCCTTTACTTTTACGTGTTTACTTCTGTATGTAATCAGTACTTTTAACTGTCATCAAAGTGCATCTGCACAAAAGATTTTACGGTTTTACGGCTGCATTGTTTTGTTCTTGGAATGTTTTATTTTTTAACCAATAACTTCATCTCCAGATTTGTTTTATTTAAACGTTTCGCTGTCTTATTAAAAACAGATTGCTTTACCTACTACGTTTGCAAAAGCACTACGACGCTTAATCGATCAATTTGATGTTCGAGAGACCATGGACCGATAGTATGCAATAGTGGTTTTTGGCCGTAACAAAAGTCCTCTCAGTTATTTTTAGTGGCGGACGAAGGTGTAGCATTTTCTGCCTAAAATTGTAAATTGTTCTTTTTTTTTTTTTTTTTTTTTAAAAAAAAAAGGAATTTCCTGTTTTATTTTACTTTTACTCAATTTCCAGACCAATGAAGTGAAATGACTGAATAAAGCTATGGTGACAGAAGACGAGAATCTCTGTGTGCGTTTGTGCTTATTAGGCTGCAGTAATTTCGCCTGATATGGTTATAATTACACTAAAATTTCAACTGGACACATTTAATGACGGACAAGTCCCAGATATAACCATATTATTGTTTCAACGTTGAATTATAGTTAAATGCGCTGAATTATGGTCAGTGTTAAATTATCACCGTTGAAACTGAATTGATTTTCGGTCAGATTTTCAATATTGAAAAATTGATGGTGGCAAGACGTACCTTGATTCAATTTTGATATAAAGTGAAACATTGAAGATCAACGTTGTTTCAGCCATTTGTCTGATATGGAATCAATGTCATGTCAGTTCTTTCTGGGAAATGGGGAGGGGGATTTGATGATATTGAGCTGTTAGCAATTTCATGAACTCGTAGTATTAGGGTCACCATGAAAATATTATTTGAATTCTGACTTCTTTAGAAAAAAAGTCAGAATTCTGAGATTAAAGTCAGAATTCTAACATTAAAGTCAGAATTCAAATAATATTTTCATGGTGGCCCTAATCCTCTTCCGTACGTTTAATTGTGGAATAAACGGAGTATAACTAATAAACACCAAAAATACCAAAGACCGCCGCTGGGAGTCGCTGTCCTGTACCGCGCGACAACAATCTGGCTGCAGTATCTGTGACCTTATGTGCTGGGGAGTCCGGTTGGAGCCAAGACGCATGCGCAGACATTGCTGCAATACTGAAAAATAGATAAGTAGAAGCATTACAGACGTTCGTAACTAGATACAAAACATTAAAGTATAACATACTTTACTGTACGGTAACGGCATCCCTGTGTTTTGGCGCTGAAATGCATATTGTATTTTTTAACTAGTTATATAGATCCCGCGGCCTGCGTGTGCGTGGAGGCGCTGTCAGTAATGCGCCGCATCAAACGCTTAAATGGAGCCGGAAAGCGAGATATAGCTACGATCGACTGAGTGTGCATGTGGATACTGCGATGCTAAGGTATGGAAATGGGCACAAAAATCCTAATAAACGGTGTGCACGCGGATGCACATCAGGGGCTTTTGAAATCGCGAATTTTGTCAAACACAAAAACCACTTTATTGTTAAACAAATATCTGTTAACTTGGTCAGCTCGTCGTTGATGCACATTTCTAGGCTTGTGCGTTGAGTCATAGAAATAAGTCTTGTACCTAAATGTAGTTTTATTTACGTGTATTGACCTGCAACCTGTTCCCGGTGTTTATTGTCCAATAAATGCTTATAAGCGATGCAGTGTTTTAAGCTACATCACTATTTCGATAAGTACATAATACAGCGTGATAATGTTATGAGTTACAGGAGAACTTTCTTTTGGGTTTGTTTTGAACTTTTAGCGTTAGCAAAAGGCGTGTATTTTACATTTTAATTGTTTGTTTGTTTGCGCGCTAACTGGCCCCAGCGACATTCTTTGTGGAACAGGTCATAGTATTTCATGGACGTCAGTAAATAACTCCGTCGAACTGTACTGCGATACCTTTGCTGGTATTTAATTTAAAGCACGATCAGTCGGTAATTCTGTTTCTGTTAAGGCCACCCCAGTGTCATATCAGTAGTTTTCGATATTCTTGGCACAGAAACATTTCGGCACTTTTGTCCCATCGTAGTTTGACTCTTGATCCCACATGCAGTAGAAATACGTTTCTCAGTTCGCCATGAATGTTAAGTTATTGTTAATGTGTGATCTCCTTTTCGTTTTTGTTCTTTGTTCCTCCAGGGGAAGATGTGCAGCCTGAAGCCCAAAGGCAATGGGCATGAACAGCCAAGAGGAGCAAATAATCGTTGTCCTTTTCAAGCTTCTAGATACTGAATGTTAAACTTTGAGAATCTTCTAGAATCCTTCTGTTTCATAGTGGCACAATATTTCAGCAGTAGATGGTGGACGTCATGTTTGTCTGTTTATGTTACCAGTTACTCCTGCGTTATGCATTTTCATTAATTTGGCTTACATTCAGCTCCTGATTTGGGATCATTTCCTTGGATTCCCCTCCTGTCTTGTATCTTCTCCCGGAAGAACCCTTGACATTCCTTCTCAAGTGCCCTGCTGATAGGCCAAAAGTCACTTGTGAATTTTGTTTTCCTCCCCATAATTTGGTTTCATTTCCACCAAGATGTCCAGACAAAGCGTCCTCACGGCTGCTATAGCGACTGTTTTAGGAGCCACTCTTGGTGGCCTGCTGTTTTGGAGGACGCTGAGGTTCCAGAAGAAGAAGCGTTCCCAGGCTCTGGCATATTCTGACCCAGTCCAAGAGGAGCAGCTTAGCACAGTGCAACACCCAGTATCGTTGCCGCTGCCGTCACCGTCACCATCCCCACCACCACCACCACCACCGATATCCAGACCTGTAGCCACCCTCCTGCCCTCACCAGAGCAGCTGCTAAGCGTGCAGCCTGTGGTGGTGACCTCTGGAGAAGACTGGGAGCAGCTGTGGCCCTCACTTGAGAGAGAGTTGTCGGTCTTTCCTGTGCTGGGCCTAGACTGTGAATGGGTAAAGAACCCGTGTGTAAGGCTTCTCCTGCTTTAGTGAATTCCTCTGCTTCCTTGTGGGGCGAGTCTCACCGCCACATCCGCTCTCTCCTGTAGGTCTCGGTGAAAGGCAAGACGGGAGCCGTCTCGCTGCTTCAGATGGCCTCCTACACGGGTTTCTGCGTGCTGGTGCGGCTGCCGCAGTTCTGCAGCGCAGGGCAGTCCTTACCTCGCAGCCTCGCCGAGATGCTCAGTGACACGCGGGTGTTGAAGGTAGGCGTTGGCTGCTACGAGGATGGGAAACGCCTCGCGCGGGACTATGGCCTGTCGCTCGGATGCACTGTGGATCTGCGCAACCTCGTTATGAAACACAGGTACTACTGGTGCATAAGCTTTAACGTAACCTTAGGTGCCTGAGAAACTCTTGTTTGTCATCCAAGGACGTGAATGTGCTAGTTTGTAGTTGCCACCTGTGTGATAAACCCTTATGAGCTGATATTCATTTAACTTTAATCGTTTTGATTCCTCATCAGGAAAATGGGGTTGACTAATGGTTTGAGCCTAAAATCCCTGGCAGCAGATCTGCTTGATGTACCTCTAGACAAGTCACTGGAGCTTCGGTGCAGTGACTGGGAGGCAGACCAGTTGACACTGGAGCAGGTACTCACAGCATGAGGCTGTCAGCGGAAGAGAATGGATACTTTTGAGAAATGCTCACTTATTATTCATAATTTCTTTATTATTGGGACATGCTCTCAGAAATTCTACTCCTTTCTCTTCCCCGTGTTTCCTGACCGCAGGTGACCTACGCTGCCAGGGATGCCCAGGTGTCCGTCGCGCTCTTCTTCCGCCTGCTCGGTCTCCATTCCCCTCCGTGCTCCGCCCTTAGCGGAGATGCAGTGTTCAATCAGTTATCGTCGCACTGTGAGGGTCTGGTGGACGTGCCGTTCCGAGGGCGGGGGGAGGGGGAGGAGAGGACTGCCGATGGGGGGAGGCGCCGCCGGTGCCGACGGGACACGTCCGAGAGCCCGGGTTCTGGAGATCAGCAAGTACCCGATCCCCGCAAAAACAGACGCAAGCCCCTCGGGGTGGGGTACTCCGCCAGGTGAGGGCCTTCACTGGCAGTGGCTTCGGAATATCCAGCTGTTGGCCACTGGGGGAGAGTTTCTCACAGCTTGTGTGTTTCAGGAAATCCCCGCTTTATGATAACTGCTTCCTCCATGCCCCAGATGGCCAGCTCCTCTGCACCTGTGACAAGAAGAAAGCCAAGTGGTACTTGGACAAGGACATTGGAGGTATTAACCAATTAAAAACTAGTCGTGTATGTGAGCAGCGTTAAGGATCAGAATTGGTGTTAATGCAGAATATGCATTACTTTTGCATCCATGCGGTGGCTGGAATATCAACTATGGTCGTATGGCAGTAATCTCCGTTGCTACAATGACTGCAGAACCCTTTGTTTCTGGTTTTGAGCATGTGAATTTTTTCAAATGTAATTTCTAATACCACCTTATTAAACCTGACCTTTTTTTTTTTTTTTTAACGTCTCCAATGTAACTTATAATTCTTCCAGAACTCCTCAGTGAGGACCCCTTTATTGTCAGGCTGAAGTTTGAGCCATCAGGACGGCCCGACTCCCAGCAGGATTACTACCTTACAGCCAAAGAGAACTGCTGTGTTGTGTGTGGGAAGACTGACTCCTATATTAGGTGGGTTGGTCTGGGTGTCGTTTTGTTGTTGCCATGGTTTCATTTGTATTCTTGGTCGCAGTAACTGTACCTAGCTATTAAACCGCAGGAAGAACGTAGTCCCGCACGAATACCGACGGCACTTTCCGTCGGAGATGAAGGACCACAACTCCCATGACATCCTGCTGCTGTGCACGTATTGCCACGCGGCGTCCAACGTCCACGACGGGATGCTGAAGCAGCAGCTGTCTGAGGAGTTCTCCGCGCCCTTGGGATGCGAGGAGGGAGTGCGGCAGCTGGAGGACGCCGACCGGCGCCGCGTGCGCTCTGCGGCCCGAGCCCTCCTCACAGCCGGCGACGGCCTGCCTGAGTCCCGTCGCTCGGAGCTCGAAGGTGTCATCATGTGCTTTTTTGGCGAGGAGCACCAAGAAGTTACCGCAGAGATGCTACAAAAGGCAGCTAGCCTGAAGACCAGGTCAGTAGAGATGTAGGGCGTAGGATGATGAGGCAACGGTAAATGCAGTGACTGTTCAGTTTGAAATGTCTCTTCAATGGAAATTAGGTTCCCTAAATCTGCTCTTTTCCTGTCTTCACTTAGGATATTTAACCAGAACTATGTGCCCCATGGGCTGAAAGTTGTTCAGGTCTATGCAGAGCGTGGTCTCCGTGGTCTGATGGATCTAGAGAGACGCTGGCGACAGCATTTTCTCTCCACCATGAAGCCACAACATCTTCATCCGCTCTGGTCCGTGCATCACAACCATGTGAAGTTCCTCCGAAAGTACGGTGAGGACCTACCAATCAAGCTGAACTGAGCCTTCTTCAGTTGTCTCGGCTGAACTTAATGGAGGACTTGATGTACAGTCCCAGTATTCTGCAAACTCCCCCAGCTGCCTCGTTTTTGGTCCTTGCTGGATTATCTCCCCCCCCTTTGCATCTAATGGCTTTTGCAAGTGTCAAAGAAACCCAGAACTCCTGAGGGCAAATGGACCTTAAAGTGGGAGGCTAAAATTTGATACTTACCGTGGTTAATCCAGAACACTAACAGTGCGAGATGACACAGGGTATGAAGTCCGCAGTATTTGTGCACACTTTTAAAATATTTAAATGGTGAATCCTTTTCACTAGTTTATTTAAGCCTACATTTTTAAAAGTAAGCTCCAAACCTGCTCTTAATTCCTTATGGATATGGATAATGGACCATGCTGGTTTGTAGCCGTAATGTGTTTGTGTGTTCCCAATCGTGCAGATGGAGTTGGCTTTACAGATCTTCAATAAGGTAGCTTTCAAAACGATTTTCATAGATAAGCTGTGACATTTGTCTATTTTGCCTCAAATTCCACATTGGTCGATCTTCTACGATGGATCCGACACCTTTTATTGCTGTATTTAAACCCTTTTTGGATTAATGTCACTTTCTCTCTCTGGGTTTTGGTCAAGCTGAAGGCTGAGCAACTATCCATCTGCAGGGTGGTGAGTTGGGAAGTGTCTTCTCGTTCGCCGTAGCCCTGGGTTGTGTGTTCTGTAGGGTAAGGACACCTCACACCTAATTTGAACCCCTTACTCTAATTGAGCACTAACCATGTCCGTCAGGCTGGAATCTTCAACTTCTACCTTGGCGACGATGCTTAATCATGGCTACTCATATTTCAGTTGCTGAAGTGCCATCTCTTACATGTTTTCCTGAGAGTTTACTAGCATTATTGAAACTGCCTTGAAACATGGTCCTACTGTAAAGCTGAAAGAACATTATACTCTTAAGCACCTTGAATGTGTCCCGACTCTGTGAAACTTTAAGAAACTCGCTGCTTTTTTAACTTTTACATTTGTCCAGATGTAACTCCTAAAAAAGCTGCTTTGTTTCCTTAATTGTAAATAAAAGATTAAAGATCATATTTGTACACATTGCATTAAGTTGGTTGATTTTTCTGTGTGTGCATCTAGGAGAAAATACAGACTTTGCACGGGGGGGGCGCAGGGGAACAGTGTGCTTAAAGACGAGGGTGAATTAACACCAATAAGCACAGAAAATGACACCAAACATTTAGTCTTTTAAAAATCACTATTTAATAAATAGTCTGTAAAAATGTGTACAAAAGCTTCTCTTTACATGTCCTAAATGAATCACTTCCATGACTTAAGTCAAAGTACTCAGTTGGGTATTTAGTATTATGATTACAATCTGGTTCTGGTGAATTAAGGCCCCTTGATTTTGGCAACAGAACAATCTGTCAGTCTTAAGATGAAAGCACAGTGTCTAACCTGAGGTCCCAGGTCACATTAACTCCGTTATAAAAACAAGAACAAAATGCATAACACAAAATGGCTCAACATGCAGGATTATCCCCAACCGATCTTCAGGAATTGAAATACAACAGCGTAATCCACCATTATCGTACTGTTTTTATGCAGATGAACCCTGTTAATATCAAGACATCCATTAAAACCCTACGAGGCCTAAACATGAAGAGACCGTAGATTTCTGAGGTCTCGTTGAATTTAGTTCAAGCTCTTTTCCTTTAGAAAAAAAGAGCTGCTGAAGTCAAAGATTTAATCCACTTTAAAAATAATTTAATTTGTCTATTTAAATAACTCGTCCAACCATGTTTGTTGTTCCATAAATAGTTTTGGCTATATACATGTCATTAAATATTTTGGCCAGGCTTTGATCACGTTGACCCATTCACAGTGCAACCTCCAAATTACTAGATCACATCACTCATCTTTTAGTTAAAACCTAATACTGTTTTCAATGATAAACCCTTAGTATTACAACGCACTCAGTATTCTCAAATTTGTAGACAGGCTACTAATAGGGTTCATCTGTACTTTTGATCAGCCCAAACACCTGGTATAGGAAATCTTGTAGCATTAATAAATACATGGTTGTCATCCTTTAAGTACTTTTGTCGTTTTACTTCATCTTCATTTACATTGTATCATTAAATTTTGGTTGTTCAACCCCTACAACTTCCATGAAAAGAGCCCAACATTCATTTTTTTTCCTCAACAAAAATTCAAAAAACATCTAGTATTAAAAATAAATATTTGACACTAACGACCACTAACTCAGTTTTTGGTCAAAGGCTATTTGAAGATTAAAAGATGCTGTCAATATGTTATTGGGTAAATTGAGCATGAATGATGCCTAAAATTGAAACTTTCAGGCAGTCGTATCAGCTAGATATGTTCCTTTTTGTGACATTGCTCCTGCCTGTGAAATAGATCCCATGATATGCAACACAAGGCATTCTCATGCTGAACCCACCACTTCAGAATGTCATGACCACCCTTGCTTTCACCTCTGTCTTATTGATCCTGTTGGTCTTACTGTGTATTGCAGTTACAGGGCTGATCTAAAGGCAGTGGCGAATGTGCCTCACATTTGGGTCTAGCCCCACTCTAATTCACTGAATTCTGAACTGCAGGTGAGCTTCACTCAGTCCGCAACCCCCCCTCAGTATAACAGTAGCAGTTATTACAAACATCTCTTTGTTATTGCTAATCTGTTAAAAGTCTCCAGAAAATTAAAAGAAATCTTACAAAGTTCTAAACATGAATGAATTCTATGTCTTCCACTCAGCGTAGAAACATCTAAACATGATCATAATCTACTTTTCTCGTTAAAGCCTTCTTTGGACAAAGTATATTGTTCTCCTTTCTGCTCGCAAACATTTCACAGATGCAACATTGATATTTGCTGGTGTATTCAGGATGAAGTGGACTGCATGACTTTTGGTTGTCAAATGCAGATATTTTTTTTCCCCACTCAGTTTATGCAAGATACAGCGTTACCCAAGATTAATTATTTGCCACAGCGTCAATCTCAACTATGATCACTGTTCAAGAAAAATAAAATTCTCTAGAGTAAGACCATCCTCTTATGGCCCACTGTAAGTCAGAATGCTGAATACGAGGAACTGAGCACTAGAAGCACAGAACAGCAGCCCTTGTGCAGAATAGCGGTAAATCCTCTTCATCCCTTTTACAACTCAATCTCTGCCAAACACAAAACAGGCCGCTCCCATTTATTACTAAGCTAATAAAAACAGATACATACTTCACATCGGGACAAACCTTAAATCAATATCTTCAAATAATACTATCCCATTTGCTTTTTTTGTACTTTGTACAGTAAATGCTACTGCAGATGATTTAGCTGCTATGGATGTGCTACGAATGCTGAAGGATTTGTCTGAACACCTGACATATCGTTTGAACGTTTGAACCATTTCACGCACTCCTGAAGTATAACTGCATCTGCTATTTGAAATGGGTTCAATGAGAAACATCTACATAAAATTTGTATTTAGTAATATTAAGCCTGTACATCAGTACTACCTTTAAATTCCTTTCTACAGTTTATTCTCCTTCATATGTCACTGCCGGTTTCTACTGGTGTCCCTCCATGATGCTACTGACGGCCTGCTCCAGCACCGAGGCTCCCTTACCATCCGGAGGAGGCTGCGCCTGGAGGCTTGGTGGCCCCTGCATACGTTGCAGCTCCAGGATGCTGTCGATAGCACTTTGAAGATGCTCATTGAGGACATGGTCCTCCCCAGGAAAAGCCAGACCCTGCTGACTCTGGTCAGGATCTGGTCGGAGTCTTTTAGGTTTCGGGGGGCAGAGGACAGGGTCAGTGCCGGGCAGCACCGAAGCAGAGGATTGTGGGTCTACTTGGGAGATGCTGTACGCTATGTGTGTGTCAGTAATCTGCTTTGACTCCTGGGCCTCATCGGTTATCTGACTCCGGTTATTCTCTGATGACTCAGTCAGATTCTGGGGGTATGTAGGGTCCTGGCCTCCTTGTCCTTGTTCGTTAATTGTGTCTCTTCCATTAGTCAGCTGCCCAGTGCCATCGGACTTGTGGCTGGAAGGAGGACTGCATGCACTTTCACAGGCCGAGTTGTGCACTACCTTGCGGGATCCCGACTCGTGCTTTATGGTGAGTTTGAGTGCCCCCCGGCTACTGGAACGGTACGTTTTGAGGCCTGGCGGCCGATCAGACAGCAGGGCCCACGAGGGAGGTGAGGGGGGACTGTTAGAATGCAACAAAGGAGGTCCAGATGCTGGTTTATGGAGAGACACCAGAAAGGATTCTGTTGAGATGCCAGGACAGAAGCACTTGTCAAGATACGTTCTTAATTCCATAACAAAGCGGCTAAGCTAAGCACAAACATCAATTCGCACAAGGAAGCACATATTCTATGCAAGATCTAGAGATCCCAGGTACAGACCTGGCTCTAGTCGGGCCTTGCGCTTCTCTTCCCCAAGAACTCCCCTCTCTGCTTGGAGGAAAAGCCGCTCCAGCATCACCATTTCCGCTGATGGGCTTACCTGCTATAAGTAGCGTCAAGGAAGATGTTTACCTCGATCAGGCAGGCTAAAGGTCAATGTAAGTGCCGCAGCCACTCAAATGGGATGAAAGATAGCGAGGCCTATAAAGACGGCATCGGAAATCGGAACAGAAGTGAGCAGAGGTGGTAAAATTTATGATGCGTAGGACAAATCAATCCACTCACCTGGGCTTCCCCCAACAATAGCTGCCGGTACTTGTTGAGCATCTCCTTGGTACGTTTCAGTAGCAGGTCAGATACAGCTTCAAACTGCTTGTCTACTAAAGACACAAATAGTGCAGCTACATCAATAACACAGATAAGTACCGATGAAGAGATCTTGGGGTGTTTAACAATGCCAAGAACGCAAAGATCATTGCTTGTGTTCTAGGCAAAAGCGGTCTTGCTAACTTGCCCTCCCAAGAACAAACTTGGGACGCAATGAATTATGGGACTGTTCTCGTTTGGCGAGATGCATCCTTGATACTCGGGGCAGGGCAAGAGTGACATTGGATTTTTACTGTCCACCTGTTCTTGAATATTGGGACTGTACTTTGGCAATGGAAGATGATGTCAAGTGGGTACGTGGAAACCCAAGAACGGTGAAGTACACATATTGGTACTCGACCTTGGTGTGTCTGGGTCTCACCTGTCAGGAAGTCTGCCTGGCTGGGTAAACACCCCGCACAAGTGTGGAATGGCAGCAGACGGATTACTGCATTCTCCAGGGACAGGAATGGGGAGTGGGCATCCGGGCTCAGAACTGCAGTGTGATCCCTGCACAACAGTTGCTGGAACCTGTAGAGGAGATGAGGACATCCCAAAGCACCACACTGGATTGGAACAAGTTTACTCTCTCCAGAGTCCAAGAAACGGCCACGTACCTGTGCTTGCGTATTGCTGGGGTCAGTCTCTCCTCTCTCTCTTTATCCTTGCACGCTGTTACCTGATTGGTAGGGATATAAAGTGTTTCTTACATTGCAATTACAAATACTGAACAAACCGCACCAATCATAAAATAATTTAATGACAGTTATAGCCACATGATATCATTTTAACTCATTCCTGGAACACAAGCAGTGCCCCTTGTCAGGCAGACTCAGAAGTCCCTGTCACCTGCGAGTTTGACTGCTGCTGGGGTTGCATCTGAGTCATTTGACTGTGGTGCTTCAGACTGTGTTGCCCCTGAAGCTGGAGCCCTTGGGGTTTTGGAGAGGCTGGCTGAGGCCCTGTACTCTGCACAGTAGAAACCAAAGCTTGTTCTGGTGAGTAAAAAAAATAATAAATCAGCGTATAAATGACACCGATTAATGCCCCACCTTTGATGATTCATATTTACTTGACAGTTAGACTTCACAGTCCACTGATACTCACTAACTTCTGCCCGCAGCTGCGTGGAGGCGTCAGTTGGGGCTTGAAGATCCTCCGGACCCAGGAGAGATGTGGGCGGATGTGACCCAACAGACAGACTGACCACTAAAGGGGACGGCGCCGTGTGCACGGGGATAGCGGCCCGTGAGAAATGGGACGCCTTGCCATGTCCAGACTCAGACAGGCTCTCAGCCTGCCCACCAAAGTGGGAGGAGAAGCTGGCATGGGTTGTGCTTAATGAAGCCTGGCCAATCAGAGGTGAGCATCGCGGCCCCGGCTGCTCGTGCCCAGGATGGGTGGGAGTGCCGACCCCTCTAGGGATTGGGGTCACGGGAGGGGCCCCCGCTTGGCTGACGGTGATCTGAGGAGTAACTTGGACCTGTAGTGTCGCAGGCAAGTTATCAGCAGATGTTGACTGTGGCTGAAGAGTCTGCTGTGATGGAGAATTAAGCAGAACAAGACTTAACATCACATCTTACCAATATTCTGCATAAGGATACAACCACTTTTGTAACCGATAAAATTTACAATCATTAAATAAAAAAATTGCCAGGTAACTGGAGTAGATTACAATATTTGCATATCCTCAACTATTAAAGATTTTTTTAATAGTGGGAAATGTAAAAATGGTTATGGGAGTTTATTTTTTTTTAAACTTACAAGAGTGCCACTACAATCAACCTGCATTTTCCCAGTCATAGATTCTGGGTAAAAGGCTTACATGTAAGGATAGTTTTGTCATAAACTTTTCAGGTAATTTGCTGTACCTGACTTTCAGGAAATACTCCAAGACTGATTATTTTAATTGCATCCTCTCCAAAATCGGCGCAATTATAATTATTGAAAGTCTGAAATAACTGGAATGAGCAGCAAGTAAAATCACAGCTTTGATGCACCTTATAATGTTCCTGTCATGCTGATAATTAACACGATGTGTGACTTCGGTGACCATGTACTGGATACATGATTGGGGTGTTATCTCTCATAAACACATACATATTCTGTATTAACTAGAAATTACATACACATACACACACACACACACACAGTACCAGTCAAAATGCCAAGCCGCCTACAAAGGAGAGTGACAGTGCCACGTCACATGACCTGGTCACCTGACCTAAACACAGTAGAGATGGTTTTGGAGGAATTTGACCAGAGAGTGAAGGAAAAGCAGCCAATGAGAGCTCAGCATATATGTGGGACCTCCTTCAGGACAGCTGGAAAAGCATCCCAGGAGGCCACTTCATGTAACTGGTGTAGAGGAGAGAGTAGGATCAGCCAGTGCCTGGAGCAACTGGGGTTAAGGGCCTTGCTCAAGGGCCCAGTGGGGGCATCACTCTGCTGACCCAGGGATTTGAACCGGCAACCTACAGAGCTGCCGAAACTATTTATTTTATTGCATACTTTTTGGTTAGTGCATAATTCCATATATGTTATTTTATAGATTACATAAAATATGGGTAGGCGTGTCCAAACGTTTGATTGGTTCTGTATATTATAAAGATAAAAAATAAGCACATCTATTAAACACACATTTCCCGTTACTAATGTTTTTTCTCTTTGCGTGATACAAAATGTAAAATGCAAAAAAAGACTCTCCTTTGAGGGCTGGACTTATTGCAAAGCGATCTTCTCATGTCTTTTAACGTGGGTATTGCTTAGTTAGCTTGGGAATGACTGTGGGTCATGTTATCGAAACCATTATATTATTTACCTGGTTGACCTGCTGGAGACGATGCATGAAGTCGTGTTTTGGAGGAGCTGGGCTAGACAGCCCACCCAGCACCTGCGGCCCATTTGCACGTGGTAAAATGTGCTCGGGCAGGGGATCGATTGGGTCATGGTGGAGGGGGACGTCCAGCTGAGGCTGCAGTACGGTCAGAACTGGGGGAGAGGACTGGACCTCTGTGGGACATACCTGCAAAGCATGATGGTCAAGACGCTGTTTCAGCCGAAATAGTTAATGAGACAAGGTTTACGCCATTATGACTTTAAAACAGGGAACCATAAATACATGGAGTAACCACATACCTGTGGAACATGGAGTAGCTGTTCCTCATTTGAGCCTTTATCCTCTAGGGCAGATGTTTCAGGCAGCAGTAAGACGGAGGTCTGTGGCTGACTTTGCTGTCCATCGATGCCCCCGGAGATAGGCTGTTGGGCCTGAGGTGCAAAAGGCAGGCCCTGTACCACGGAAGGACCATTGACAATTGAAATGGAGGCTACATCCGACGGAAGCACCCCGGGGCTGTTGATCAGAGTGATGTGACCCCCCAAGGCGGTGCCATGAAGCAGGGTGCCCCGCCGTCCCTGCCCTTGCGGCGTGTAGCTTCCAGCCACTTGTGCAGGCATCTGGACTATAGTAGGAGGTGCAGACTGCAGGTGCAAAGGGCCTGATAAGAGGGCACCTTGCCTCAGCGCTAGCTGCCCTGTTGGTGTTGTGAATACGGGGCTGAAATTCAGCTGCCTGGGGGGGGCTGTAAGAATCTGAGTACTGTCCATCAGGTGACCAGAAGAAGGCGCCCCGCCCCGCACTGAAATCTCTTGCTGGCTGGTAGGAGTAAGCAGGGGGCGTGTGGTACCAGCAGACTGGGATACTGGCACTGGGGTTTGGTTGGGAAGTAGGAACTGATTGTGGCCTTGAAATAGACCCTGGGGCTGGATGACAATGGATCCCCCTTGATTCAACAACTGCACACTGACTGGCTTGCTGAGGTGAGGGGTGGTTGGGGGTTGCTTGGGGCCCAGAGGAGGGGACAACAAAATGTTTGGTGAAGTTGTCCCTTGAACCAAAGTAAGGCTTGGCGAGGTCTTCTGTCCAGAGGGCTTGGGACTTATTTGCACCAGACGGGGCTGGATGTTGACAGGCATCTTGGGCTGGATCGGCAGAGGACCTCGTGTCAGCAGAATCCCCGGGCCTGTGGTGGCCCTCAGTGACGTCGCCATCATGGGGCGACCTGTCAGGCTTGGAAGGGCCTTCTGAATGATCATTCCAGAGCCCTGAGCAGGACTCAGAGAAATAGAGGCTTCGGGTGGAGTTCCAGGGAAAACTGTGCCAGGTAGAAGACCCATGAGCTGAGGGGCAGCAGGCTTCAGGGAAGGGCAACCTGGCCCCACAGCCAGCAGGGAGGGCTGCGGGGGCTCCACAGCTGCTTGGGTATCCCGGGGCATTGTGGGCAACGGAGAGGATTTGGCCAGGAATTGTGAGGCAAGAGAACCAATCAGTGTTCCAGGGGGGTTATAAAGAGACAGGGCATCTCCAGGGGCAGCCAAGCCAGCTTCCAGAGCCAAGGTCTGCTCAGTGATGTCAGCCTCCTGAAGACTCTGTTGTAGGATGTCACATGCTTCCTCCTCTTCTACAGCCCCCACTGGGCCTCCCTGCCCTACCTCGGGAACCCCCCCTCCATCTGGAGAACTGAGAAGTGCTTCTTCCAAGAAGGACAGGTCAACGCAACCTGGAGGGGGGGTGTCCCGGGATGGAACATCATCTGCCAGCAAGGATCCTGGACTCTGACCGGAAAAAATAGACACAGTGCCATACATTTCTCCCTCAAAATCCAATTGTACCTCAGTAACATCTCCCTCCAAATATCACTGCCATATTGTCTCTGGTCTTTTGTCTGCCTGCATTAATGCTTAGACCCTGTGGTGTTTATGAAAGCAAAGAGAGACTCACGGGGGCATCAGCAAACAACGAGGGTTCTCCTGGGGAGGAATTAATGAGCAGGTCGTCACTTTCCAGCTGAGGGTACAGAAAAGAAAGAGGATGAGTGTATAGGGTGGAGATTTCTTATAGAAAGACGTGATATACGAGGTGCATTCTGTATGTACAGCATGCATGTGTTCAGCGATTAATAAGAATCAATCAAACACATGTAGCTAACAGAAAAATGCTTATGATCCTTATTAGAGGTAACCTACTGCGTACTCATGCTCCTGCTTATTATTAGATTAGATTAACCTTTGGGTTTCTGCTACAATGTTGCAGTTCTTCTTCCCTTACAATCAACAACTCATACCATGAATGTCTTAAGTTCAGTTCAATAATTTAGCTCAACCTCTGTATTAGACTAAAGACTTCAAAGCCGCTGAACAATAGCACCTACAAAGAGATCAATTATTCATCTGCTGTACAGTATGGAGGTTCACCACTTTTGTCAAGAGAGTTCTCATATTGCAAGCGACACCTTTCTAAACTGGCCAAGTGCCACGACAAATCACCATGGTAACCAATTATTGCTTTGAGATTTCAGATTGCAGCCTCCCTCACAAGTCCCAGACACACTGATTTAAGTCAGCGATCTTGTAATCTGCTGTAGTGCCTCCATACTGACAATTTTAATGTGTCCTACTTGAACACTCGTGACAGTTTACTATGCACAATACATTATCAGGTCTAGTGATCACAAAAATCTGTATTTAAAGGGTGGTGTGTATCTCAGTAGGTTTTGGATCTGTGCCTGCGTGTATAACCTTATGGGTTCAAATCTATCATCATCAGTAATCATATCATCATTGGGCCCTTGAGCAATGCCCTTAACCCCAACTGCTCCAGAGATGCTGGCTGACCTTTGCCCTTTGACCCCATAATCTCCTCACTTGTATACTGCTTTGGACAAGAGCAGCTGATAAAAACACAAAGACTGTGTGTCATTTCACAAGCTTTTAATTTATTATTATTATTATTATTATTAATTATTATAATTACACAATATGAATATAAATAATATGTAATGTTGTTTTATATTATAAGTTTCTCTTTTGCAGCTGTGCACACATTAAAATGCGGAAAGATAAAAGTTTTACCTCGTTGGTTCCATGAAGGAAGTCATTCAGGGCTTGGGGGTCACTGTAAGAGAGAATAAGGAATTAATGATTTAGTGTCCTTAGTCAAGCATTAGAAACATGTAAATCTGATTGTCAAAACAGTTTGAAGGCCCCATGTCAAAAAAGAACAATGGCAGTAATAATGAAATCATCATCGTAATATGCATGCAATTTTAATCTGACGCTCCCTGACTTACCATAAAACATCAAGTAAACAAGTGCCATCTTCATCCTCCATGTCAGCTGAGAGCATTGGGACGAAGCGGACAAGACATATTGTTGCGAAATTAGACATATTGTTGCGAAATTAAACTGCTGTAGATAACACTACATGGGAGTAGTTAGCAATTACATTACTGATGTCACTGAGGACCCATGAACTATGTACTTAATAAAAGCGCAGTCTGACATTTTTATATGCTCTAATTAAGTAACATATATCTGAATTGCATGAAGCTATGTGATGCCTGCAATGGGCTGCCACCCCATCGAGGGAATAGCCCCGTCTTGTCACATATTTCTCGTCTAGCCATTTCCTGGATAACTGAGTACATTTTGAGTACTCTACACGACTATAAATAGGTGAAAAGGATTTGGGTGTTGGGAGAGGGAACATACTTCATGTGGTGGAGGCCCCATTCAGAGCAGACTGGCTGGGCTCTTTAGGGGCCTCATGGACACACAGGTCTGGCTTCAGGGATGAACGACCAAGCAGTGTTTGGCCCATGAGGCTGTCTTCTGGATCTGTGTGTTCCTCCGTATCGGCATATCTGCTACCTGTGTGCTGCAAGGCCAATACAAGGCCGTGAGTTATATGCACTAGAACTCAAACGCCCGGCGTTGCCCTTAAGTGGTTGCCTGTTCCCACAGCTGCCGTGTCCTTTTCTCCAGCAGGGCGTGTGAGGAGGCCCTAGTGTTCACCTGCATGCGGCAAAAGCTGCTGAAACTTTCCTGAGACCACGGGCATTGGAAGAGCATGGATTCCCTGGCAGATTCATGGGAGACCAGCACTGCATAGGGGCCCCTAAAATCTACCATCTACTGTTGGGGGGCCTCCTCCGTTAAATCTACTGCTTAAATCCACCCAAGTTGGTAGAGGAGACTTAGCAGGTTCTGCAACACAACTTAAGGTATGTTCATACTTCGTATGTATAGGTGTCCACGCGAATGTTTGACACGATTGACATAAACATAGTTCTCTGCAGTTGAATGCATGCAGCATCAAGATTGTGTGTTAAGGCAACGCGACCACCGATAGCACACCAAGTATTTTATGAAAAGGAGCAGGAAATGTACCCGAGTCAGACTCCTTTGTTGTAGTTACAAGAATATTTGTTCATTTGCATTGGATGCTTCAAATTCTATAACTGTTTGAAACAGATACACCTTGCAGTTGTGATAACTGTTTAATACATTAATTTCAGACATTTCTTATTTATGATTCTGATACCTGTTTCCCTGCTGTTTAAAGATGTTTCAGGCATAGAGATGGCATATTTCAAATTATTCCAACACAAGGATATTAATCTGGGAACTGGCCGAATCCCCCAATCTGTAAGATGGTTCTAGAGCCTGTTGTGATTCTAAATAGTGTAAAGTGACAGCCAACCTTTCCAATACCTCAAAAAGAGACTTCTGTGTATGATGATGAATACAACGAGAGATGCCTCAAACCTCAAAGCTGACATTTAAAAATACTGGTGATGTCATTCCTTGTTGACGCTGAGCATCTCCTGCACCAGCACAGCAAATTCTCCACCGTGCAATCGATTTTCGTTTAATAGGCGCAAATATCTTTTTCATTTTCGTCTATGTCAAATAAACAGCTCTTTTCCCTCCTCCTAGAATTTCTCCATGGAATATTGTCCTTTCCTCCTCCTAAGCATTTTGTACATGTGTGAATTGAGTGGGCTTGACCGCAGAAGTATGAATAGCTCTGTGTCTGGATGCATGAGCACAGTCCCTGTGCGGAGAAGTACGTCCAGGCCCTTAGGGGAGACGGACTGGGAGATGCTCTGTGAGTTACATGGGGCAGCCACTGAGGAACTTAGCCACTGTGTCATGGACATCCACTTGTGTGGTTAATACAGTTTCCACAAAGACCCTGTGATGTTTTTCCCAATAACAAACCACGGATCACAAAGTACCTGAAGGATCTGCCGAACAAGATGAGGGCTTTCAGGTCTGGTGACAAGGAGGAGATCAAGTGGGAGCAGACAGAACTGAGTAAGCTGCTCTGTGACGGGAAAAACCTTTACACAGGCAAGATGGAGAGCATGCTACAGCAGAACAATGTGAAAGAAACTGGAGTGGCCTAAGGACCATCAACAGCTACAAGCTGACTGGAAACCTTGTAATGGAGAGTAGCACAGGACAAATTAGCTGAATCTGGTAAAACAAGTCTGATTCTCAATTGCCGGTCCAGTTCTTCTCCAATACCATCAGCCTCAGTGTGTCAACTCAGAAGGTTTTTGGCTAATACTGCCCCCTACCTTTCCATCACCTTACCTCTCTGTGATTTCCCCACTGAAGACACTACATCCAAGGCGTGCACTCCCGTCCCAGTCCTCCCAGACTGTCTATCTCAGCTGACCAGGTGAGGAGAGATCTGAGGACCCTCTGCACGGGCATGTCTGCAGGGCCTGATTGAAATCAGCAGTAGGGTGATTCAGGCATCTTCCAGCCAGCTCTGTGAGGTCCTTCTATACTGTTTTACTTCTGTTTGGGTCAACAGAAGGTGTCCCTGCCCTGGAAGACATTCTGTGTGGTCCTGGGGCCAAAGGAGGGGCATACAAAGCCCTTTAAGATTTCAGATCATACTGTATTCTCACTTCACACATTATAAAGACCTTTGAGAGACTGGTCTTGAAACAACTCTGACCCCTGGCGAAGACCAGCTAGGTCCCCTGCAGTTTGTTTACCAGGCACACGTAGGTGTGGACAATGCTCTGATCTATATAGAGCCTACTACCACTTGATCAAAGCTGACACCACATTACAATCAACACCATTTGGCCTCCAAATCGGGAACAAACTCAGTCTCCTGGATCATAAACCATCTGACCAACAGATTAATTTGTGAGGTTCCAGAACTATTTGTCATAAACGGTGGTTCCTTCTGTCTCTCTTCCATTTCACCCTCTACACAATAGACATCCCAAAACAACACCAGCTCATGCCACCTATGGAAACTCTCAGAGAACTCCCCCATTGTATTGTTCATCAACAACAGAGATGAGTTACAGAGTAGAAGCTAGATATGGACTTGCACGTACCAACTATTTCAGTACCACCTGCAGCTCAATATAAGCAAGACACAGAAGTCTGTGGTGGATTTCCAGTGTGCCAAAGAGCCCCTTTGACCTATCACCATCCAATGGGTAAGATGTGGAGGCAGTACAGTGCCGCAGGGAGCAGAAGGTTCACTCAAACAGCAGGGTAGACAACACACTGGCACTGTGGGAGTCTGCTTTCTGAAAAGGCTCAGGTCTTTGCATTTAGCTGCAGGAGATAAACTATAAGGACAAAAGCGTTGGGACACACCTCTTAATCATTGAATTCAGGTGTTTAATTCAAAACCATTACCACAGTTGTATAAAATCAAGCATCTAGCCATGCAGTTAGATTTACAAACATTTGTGAAAGAATGGGTCATTCTGAAGAGCTCAGTGAATTACGTCATGGCACTGTCACAGGGTGCCATCTTTGCATTAAATCAGTTCATAAAATTTCTCCCCTGTTAGATAGTCCACGGTCAACTGGAAGTGACATCATTGCAAAGTGGAAGTGTTTAGGAGCAAAAGCAACTCAGCCAAGGAGTGGCAGACCATGTGACGTAACAGAGTGGGGTCGCCGAGTGTTGAGGAGCACAGTGCGTAAAAGACTCCAATGCTCTGTTGACTCAATAACTGCAGCGTTCCAAACTTCCTCTGGCATTAACTCCAGCAAAACTGTGTGCTGGAAGCTTCATGGAATGGGCTCCCATGGCCGAGCAGCTGCTTGCAAGCCTCACATTGCTAAACGTAATGCCAAGCGTCAGATGGAGTGGTATAAAGCACACCGCCACTGGACTCTGAAGCAGTGGAAATGTGCTCTGTCTGGCAGTCTGATGGACAAGTCTGGGTTTGGCAGATGCCAGGAGAAGGTTACTTGCCTGATTGCATTGTGCCAACTGTTAAGTTTGGTGGAAGAGGGATAATGGTATGGGGTAGTTTTTCAAGGGTTGGGCTAGGCCCCTTAGTTCCAGTGAAGGGAACTCTTAATGCTTCAGGATATTAAGATATTTCAGACAATTCTATGCTTCCAACTTTGTAGGAACAGTTTGAGGAAGGTGCTTTTCTGGTCCAGCATGACTGTGCCCCAGCACACAAAGCAAGGTCCATAAAGACATGGTCCAGTGGATTTGGTGTAGAAGAACTGGCCCCCACAGAGCCCTGACCTCAACCCCATCAAACACATTTGGGATGAACTAGAGCAGAGATTGTGAGCCAAGCCTTCATGTTCAACATCAGTGTCTGACCTCACAAATCCTCTTCTGGATGAATGGGCAACAATTCCCACAGACACAATTCCAAAATCTTGTAGAAAACCTTCCCAGAAGAGTGGCAGCTGTTATAGTTACAATGGGGGAACCAACTCCATATTGATGCCTATAGATTTAGAATAAGTTGCTACAGAGGTTCCTGTAGGTGTAATGGCCAGGTGTCCCAATACTTTTGTCTGTAGAGTGTATTTTACCAGTCCGTAGTGGCCAGAGTACTTCTTTATTCAGTAATCTGCAAGATCATTTCGGGTATTGCCAACTACCTAAACAACTTCACCAGAAAAATCAGCTCCATCGAAGTAATGATCCCAGACACTCTGGAGGCAGCTGCAGAGAAGATAACAGTTGCAAAATGGAGAACAGGGTGTTCTCTTGGAGCTCATTACACAACAGTGTGCTAAGAGGCGCAACTAGGAATGTTTTCTGTTGGCACTGCAATGCATCCTCACCCCCAGCCACAAAACACTCTTGGACAACATTAAATGGTTGGAATGTGACATGTTACATGTCTATAGCTATGCATATCACCTGTACACTCCTCCTGATCTTCATTTATATTTTCTTATTTACCGGCGTTTTTCCATTTGTAAAACCTTGTTGTGCTATGTCTGCTGCATATTGAAATGAAAGGGGATGTAACAGGCTATTGAACTTGTACAAGAAAATTTTGTTATAAACCGTAACATCGACAAGAAGCTGAGCTTAACGTAATAGCAGAAACACGACACAGAACAGAATTTTAAAGCGCAATTCTGTTCAGTATCAGAGAAATCCCTAGTCTTATAGAAATGTACAAATATAATTACATGTAACAGCCGCTGACGTCATTCTTTGATATCAAATATTAGAAAAATTATAAGCTGTAATCTGTCATAGAATACTTGTTTTGTTTGCAGTTCATGTCGCTCTATAGTAATACATGAATGCGTAATTATTATGTCTTATTCTGTATTATCCAAAATGAAATTTCTAACATATTCTTCGAATAAGATACCTGCAATGATACACTTGACTAATTCTGTTATTCAGTCAAGAAATCAAGCAAGGTAAAACAACATTTCTTCATTAAGGGATTTCCCAAATGCTGCTTCACCCCGCACTATCGGCTACCCCAACAAAAAAAGCGCATACCGTAACTCGTTATTGCCGCGCGTTCTTTTTTAATTATACACGAACAGATGCAACGTACCCGTTTCTGGGGATTCTAAACCAGGGTAACAGACAGAACCAGATGAATGAAAACATATTGAAATCATTTTCACATAACCTACATCTGAAGCAGTTACTTTGAGAAAGCAGTAGGGTGTTACATTATAACACATTTGGGATCGCATACATTGGTGCGTGTGCTTTTAATGTATGGAATATATAGATTAAATAATATCCTATTACCTTGCGTATTATAATTTAAAACAGGATGATATGCGCTCCACGTCAGCATATATGGTTTATTTGCTAATCTGAGAAGACGTTAACCTCCTTCATGTGTACCTTGACTGAATATAAAGGAAATACGAAAGAGGCTCATTCCTATTACAATCGGCGGCTCCTCAAACCAGTACTTCAGCGTGTCCCTCACTCTATATGTTTCTCTCTCTCACCCACAGCGTCTAGGGGTGGTACCTATAAGACAGCAGACCTCCCCAACCTCACTTCAGGTAGATCAGACGGATTCCTGTGTTTGTTTACAACCTGCCACAACCGCATTTTATCCCTTCGCACTGCCCACGGCGCTATCATCCCGGCAGTAACAGACAGTGGACTCTCACTGGATTTCCAGACAGATGATGACATGGGCTAAAAGCATCCCTGGAAATCAGTACTTAGGCTCACTTCGGAAAAAAAAATCATATGAAATCAGTTTATGTAGCCATATACTTTAAGCAGTTCGCATTGATTCAGTGCAGGATGCTGCTGTTCATTGAAAATCTATCACGGAGAAGGAGTACCAAGGTAGCTAATTCCTGCTGCGCTCTCCGCAGCAACACAAAGGATCCACTTGTAACCATCACATCTGTTCTACTCTTCCTTTCGCTGTCGTTTTCTGTGTTGTTCTGGGTCATTTTGTAATTTAACTTAAAAAAAAAAACAACTCACCGCGTCTTTGTGGGTTATTGTCCTCTCAGGCGGGCCTCTGCGCCATTGAGTCTTTTCAGACGCTAAGGGAGAGGGGGGTAAAGGGGGATCGGGGTGGGTGAGAAGCAAGAGTGAGAAGAGATCAGAACACAAAGGTGGAAAAAGAGTGGAGCGAGGGGGCTGCGCTGCCTTTGCGTCCTTTTAGTGCTAAAGGGAAGATGGGGATGCGTGGCTCAGATCTGAAACGCAACGCATTAACGTTTAAAAAAATCCGCGTTGCAACCAAGAGACAAATTTCCTTTGTAATGCTATTATAGTATCATAGAATTATGCAATATACGACTTAATAACCTAATACGTCCTCCAAGAAGTATTTCCAGAATGCTCAATTTCATTACCTTAACCAGCCTTTTAAAAATCATACAGCGTACTATTCTAACCCTTTACAGCTCCCAGCGCGACAGTCTCGCTTAATCTTGCATCGTATTATTAAACATTAACACAAGGTATCCATGTATCTTGTAGCGGGTATCATTTTGAAGCATTTAGTTATATTTCGACCATTAATACAGTACAATACAAATGCAACATACCCAATTTTGGTATGAAATGATTTCAAATGGATTCAAGAAAAATGTTGATGTAAAATGCTCAATGAAAATATGATTCTAAAAATATTATGTAGCTACAGGTTCAAAGTATAAACAAAAACAAATTCACATTCAAACGATAATGGTATAAATAGGTGAGAATCAATGGGCTTCTCCCGCGAGGTCCGTCATGTGTGAAAATCAATAGCTCTCCTCCGACAACGAGGAGCTCTTCTGTCTCCTGATTGGCCGCCTTAGCAGTGACTGACACACTGTGGTGTTTAAAAGCGCAAAGGAGGCGCGTGCACTAATGCAGCGCAGGTCAAAGCACGCAGTCATAATATGATTCATTTATCTATAATTATCCGTTTCTATTACAGACAAGGTTGTAGTCCTATATATTACACAATAATCAAAACAAAGCCACATACAGCTGATTACTTTGTATTTATGGCGGATAATATTTTTGCTTAAAAAGCAAAAGAATAAAATTTACCGATTTTTTTTCTTCTGAAACATCTTATTTTATAACAAAATTTTCTATTCTAATAAATAATCAATAGAGAGATGTTCTACCATCCAAAGATTACAGATTCTGCAATTAGTTTCTTGCTTTTCCATCAAGAGTGAAATTTTAAGATTCAAATCTTGATTATTTGCTAAGGTATAAATCATATCCACGCTCTTACCTCATTCTATGGAGTCACAGTATAGATCACATCCGGTACAGGTAAATGAGACTGCTATTAATAATGATAGGCCTACATGTCGTTATCACAAAAAAAAAATCTTTCTGTTGGCAGTACTACTTCCTACAAATCTAGTGCGTCTTTCCATATTCAAAGCTTGAAAATATACCATACTACCATATTAATGCAATGTTGATAAGAATAACAATTTAACTATAATTGCAAATATAGTTAAACTGTTAAACTGTTATAGCTCCAAATGCATTCTAGATTGAAAATCTTTGAACACCACCCTACCAAAAATTACAGAAGGTTACAGAAAAGAAGCAGTGGACAAAACTATCAGTATTCTAAATTATGAGAAAATCTTTCACAATGAATATCAGCCGTCAAAGTCATATGGCATTTTCCACTGTCATACAGGAACCGACCCGTACCGGAGCTGTGATGCCAGTCCAACACAGTACCAGCTCACTTCGGTTTTCCACTGCAGAAGGGTAAGTAACATGAACCGAAGAGGCGTTGATTTACTGTTCACACGGTGTACATTATGAATTACTATTGGCAATTATTGTTTTGTTTTTTTACTGTGTACTAATTTCCATTAGCAAGTCTGTGAAAATTGCAATGTTACGCAAATATCAAACACTAGCGGAATTAGCAATTATTTGCGTAAATTTGCACTGCAAATACATTAAGTTCAGCTGTCCTACAGTAATGTTTTAAGTAGGAGATTGGAATTTTTCAAGTTTCATGCATGTGCCGTACTACTAATAATGAATAATATACATGATTTTTCGTTAGGATAATCCATGCGCAGAACGCTGGTATCGCCGTGCATTCCGACCAATCAAATGCTGGTGCTAGGAACGGCGGGATTTGGTCATGTTTTCGGCCTTGCTAGTAATCAGAGCCATGTCAGCGTGGGTGTGGGTTGGGTACTGCTTGCATACTGTGCAATTGAAAAGCGCCATTTTGCAGTACGGGTCGGGTATAGTTCAGTTCTTGGTGGCAGTGGAAAAGCACCACTAGACTATCCATAATAAACCTTTCGCTTACAACTTAGAAGCACAGATTTCTGAGATAACTGCCTTTTCCAATTTCGAAAACAAATTCCACTTTTATAATGCCACCAAAAACCAAGCAGTACCACGAAATGACGGTTGTCCATTGTAAATTATCCAAGCCATTCATGAACCAGACCCACGCTGACGTGGCCTGAATTACTACCATCCGACTGGTCAAAATGCATTGAGATACCAGTGATCTGCATTGATATGCATGGATTATCTGAAGGAAAAATGGGGATATTCTATGAATTAGTCCTTATTAGTAGTGTCGCACTTCCCGATGTATTGACCCATTCCCAGTAACTCGGAACCTGAAAATTTCCAACCATCTACTTAAAATAATACTATAGAACAGTGCAACGAAATGGATTCATAATGCACATTTATGAAAGCAAATGCAAATTCTGCTAGTGCTTGATGCTAACATACACTATATGGACGAAAGTACTGGTACATCTGGCCACTACAACCTACGGGAACCTTTATGACATTCCATTATAAATCCATAGTCATCAATATGGAGCTGGCCCCCCCTTGCAGCTACGACAGTTGCCACTCTACTGGGAGGGCTTTCCACAAGATTTTGGAGTGTATCTCTGGGAATATTTATTCATCCAGAAGAACCTTTGTGAGGTCAGGCACTGATGTTGGACATGAAGGCTTGGCTGGCAATTTTCATTCTAGTTCATCCCAAAGGTGTTCGATGGGATTGAGAACAGGACTCTCAAGTGCAGGCCAGTCAAGTTCTTCCACACTAAACTCTCAACCAGGTCTTTGCTGAAGCATTAGGAGTTCCCTTCACTGGAACTAAGGGGCCCAACCCCTGAAAAACAACCCCATACCATTATCCCTCCTCCACCAACCTTACAGTTGGCACAATGCAGTCAGGCAGGTAACGTTCTCCTGGCATCTGCCAAACCCAGACTCATCCATCAGACTGCCAGACAGAGAAGTGTGATTTGTCACTCCACAGAACATGCTTCCAGTGGTGGTGTGATTTACACCAGTCCATCCGACACTTGGCATTGCGCTTGGTGATGTGTGGCTTGCATGCAGCTGCTTGGCCATGGGAGCCCATTCCATGAAACTCCTGTCTCGCAGTTTTGTGCTGGAGTTAATGCCAGAGGAAGCTTGAAACTCTGCAGTTATTGAGTCAACAGAGCGTTGGCGACTTTTACACAATATGTGCCTCAGCACTCGGTGACCCGCTCTGTTATTTTACCAGGTCTGCCACTTTGTGGCTGAGTTTCTGTTGTTCCTAAGTGCTTCCACTTTGCAATAATATCACTTACAGTTGACTATGGAAAATCTATCAGGGAATAAATTTTACGAACTGACTTAATGCAAATGTGACATCCTGTGACAGCACCAGACTTGAATTCAGTGAGCTCTTCAGGATGACCCATTCTTTCACAAATGTTTGTGAACTTGACTACATGGCTAAGTGCTTGATTTTATACACCTGTAGCAATAATTCTGAATAAAACACCGGAATTTAATAATTAAGAGGTGTGTCCCAATACTTTTGTCCATATAGTGTATGACGGCAATTCTCACAGACTTCCTAACGAAAATTAGCATGTAGTAAATCATGATGTACACTGTTTTATGCCACTGTTCCACTCCAAAACTGGCAATGCTTTTACCAAGCCAACGCTTCTGAAGCGGAAAACTGAAGCGAGCTGGTAACACGCAGTAGTCTCTCTTCACGGCCCGACTCAGATAAGGCTTGGTTCTTGTATGCCAGTAGCAAAGCACCAAAAGTTTAAATCGGTACACTGCAGAACAGCACCAAATACATTTAAATATTCAAGCACACTATTGACTGAATGTTTCAGATCTTGAATAAATACATTTCAAATGAGACAACTCACTCATCATCTGCCATAAATCATAATGTACAAAATATTATCTCCCATGTATAAAACATAAAATGGGAAATTGCACAGTAAATGCTTATTCCAGGAAACAAAAAAAAAATCATTTTAATATTAGTTGGCTTAAATAAGCACATATGCCATTAAAAGCTCAGTTACAACTACCAAAAAAAAAAATCTGGAAACCGTCAAAAATATTAAGACTGCAACAAAAATCTGAATGGACATGAAGTGGAGGATCTGGCCAAAGCATAAGAAAATATCAGCCTACTCAGAAACATACATAATAGCATCTTTATTTAGTACAATGTCAAACCAAAACATTCATTCATAGGCAAAACACTAGAGATAGATATACATATATATAAAAAAAATCAATCAAAGATGTCGTAACCTTGTTCAATTACTACTACTAGCTATCCTAGAATCAGCGAGTGACAACTATAATACAATAACTAACTATATCCAGCTTATCAAGTCTCCACAACCCATTCACCGTTTTACTTTCCAGCCTGTTGTGCTTGGCGGCGCAGCAGAACATAGATTTTCTCCTTGATCCAATCCTTGTTGTAGGGCTGGTATGTCTGTGTGTCTGCACGGTACCTGGAAGAACACAGAGCTCATTGAATTAGCCGTCTAACATAGTACGACAATATAACACGTGCTTTTCTATAGCATTTTAATCTGACACCATTTTTTGGTTAAAGTGTAATATTCTTCAACACAACTACCAAATCATGTGGTTCAAAAGGGTATCAATAAGTACAATCAAAAATATTGGAGAGAAGTGGTGACTGAATTTTATAACTACCTACCCTACCATCACTAAGAGGGCTGGCACATGGGCAAGACAGCTAGTAATTACATTAATATGACTAATATTAATAATATTAATAATACTTACACCAGGCAGCTGAGGTCGGCTAGGTCATCAATGAAATCAAATAGTTGACTGATGTCATATGTGATTGAGGGACTGTTAGGATTCATCCGCTTAAGATGTTCTTCATACATTTTACATACTCCTTGAGGGGGGGATACGAAAAGCACTTATGTAACGTATAATATAAGAAAACAGCTCCTCAGATATCACTTGAAAGGGCAAAAAGTGTGCAATTATTGTACATGCAAAACCTCACTACCAAAATGTAAGCAACGGAATGAGAAAAAAAAGAGATAAAACAAGAGTTCACCCTTAAAACATGAGATGCCGATAAAGTGAAAAATTATCACCTACCTTCCATACATTCATTCACAGACTCATAATCAGCATATGTTCGTCCCTCGGGCCTTTTGGTGGGCTGGACCAGCAGGATTGTGTGAGACTGCAGAAAGTCAATACCTGAAGTCATCAACTAGCAACTAGTAATTATCTGGCATAACACGATAGTGAAGCTAAGAAAGAGTGGCCCCAGATTATCTGAACGTAGGCTCGTTAAAGGATAGACAATCCTATTAACCACATTAAGCGACGAGGGGGGTGGATCAAACCATCTATCTCGACCGGCATGATAGGGCACAAGACAGGCGTACAGATATGGGATGCCAACGCAAAGCCGACATGCGCAGAGCGGAAACCGGCTTCGGACCGCAAACCACGGACACGGGGGGCGGCAGCGCGACCAAAGGAGCCACCGGGCCGCCCTGCACTCGGGAACTCGCCGCACGCACGGCCAGCTCTGCGGGCTCAAAGCGCCTCGTGTAACAGCGGCGAACTTTCACAATGAAAACACAAACTTCCGACGAAGATCCGAGGAGATAAATAATAAACGTCTCCGTGGCTCAGTTACACAAAACATTTCTTTGTCCGACCACAGCGACGATTCCCCATATGAAACAAGGCAAGAAAATGTTAGTATTTCCAACTACATAAAGACAATATACATGATTTTTTAAAATTACATATCTAGGATTTATAAATAACAATGAATACTGATATTTTCAATACGCAAGCGTACTTAAACTGGTCCGGTAGGACAGCTGGTTAATCGCTTCACTAAGACAGCTCCGTAGCCAAATACCAGGAGTAGCTTACAGAACGACAGCGTAAATACATCTTGATGCATCTTGAGAGACTTTCTAAACGTAGCTACACTTAAACCTAACCGGCTTACCATTTTGTGACTACTTTAGATGTGATCTTGAAGTGAGACTTAAACTTCGAAAAACCAACGCGCTGGCAGCACTGAAGGTAAGACCGTCACCTTTCACCACCGGAAGAACATGCGCAGCCGCGCCTAGATATACAAAAACTAGATCGTAAGGCGTTTCTTAAAGAAACACTTCACATATTGGGCATGTAACGTTGCTATTCTAGATATATTACGGCCATTGTTTTATTATTATTGGTTAATAATATTTTTGAAGAGAATAAAACAGCATTTCCAGTCTGACTGTGTGGCACTGTTCGTTGGCAGACAGTTATTCAACTGAATACCGTGTGCCTGTAGTAAATATATACATATATTGGTGAAATGTACAATGACGTGACATTGTAGTGGGTAAACACGAACAGGGTTTCATCGTTCAATAACCCAAGGAGACAACTGCCTACGCAGCACCGCCCTCCTGACGATGCTCATCGTAAAACGGAAGCGGAAGTATCACAACCGGAAGCGATCGTTGAGTTGACAAATGCTGGAAAAAGCCTGATACTAACCGGAGGGAGTAGCTCACCTATACGTTTCGACTGTTGGGACATTTTGGAAAAATCATAGCCAACTGTTATAGGTATGGAATCGTTTGTAGCGGAAATTATGTACAATACGACACGTCTTTTGGAATTATCCATGTATTGTTGTGCTAATTGTACTGTTAGCTGTTGCTTTTATGTAATTACAAAAAATGGACGTAAGATAGCTAGCTTTTTAATAGTGCAATTTAGACGCACTCATGGGCTGTAACTTGTTTACTTCAAACATACATTACAGTCGTTTCTGTCGTAATTACAGACATCGCTTAACTACAAGTCATACACAGTTTTAACGTTGATCTATTTTCATCAGCCAAAATGTTTTGTTAATTTTGGGGGATATGCAAGCAGCTATGTTGTCGGCTGGAAACTTTAGTGAAATCCGTTTGTTCATCGAATAATTTGGTTGCCTACTTTGTGGGGCTGGTGCAGTAATAAAACCGAAAAATATAATCTGAAAACGTTAACTTTCGAAGTGGGAATTGTGCTGCTTCCTGTAAACAAGTGAAGTTCATTCATTCAGGTTAAACATTTGTCATTGGATAGTTCAGTGCTTGAATGTAAACTTGAATAATACGGTGAAGTACAATAGCACTCAGCTAGGTGGGAAAACAATAAATTGTTATTCTGATGACAATACAACAGGCTCGCGTAAATAAAATAATAATAAAAAAAACTTTAGGATCTATTTAATTTCGGGAAGAAGCAGTTCAGTGACTTTGTGTCGGGTGCCTTATAATCCACGAATTCAGCAGTTTTAGAAAACAGTTTTATGAATCAGTAAGTTGTTTAAAGTCTGGATAAGTGGATGCCTTTGTACCCTGGAGCAATGTACTGGTCATAAATGCCTTTACGAAATATTCTGCTTTGTAAATAAATGGCTTAAATTATGCTAACATCTGAAATGAAAACTGATTGTTTTATTGATTGAATAAGTAAGATGACACGTATGGAATTTAGGTTTCACACTTTAATATATCGTGCTGGTTAACTTTTTGAGTATTGCTATAACAACCAAATATTGAATTGTCAATAGAGTACTGTATGGCTCATGGTTCAGTAGCTCTGTGAGTAAATAATTTTACTGCTTAGCCCGAGTAGTAAAACAAGCTGAACTTAGAATTACAGCTTTCATTAAAATTATAGAAACCTTTCAGCTGAATTGGTATTTGCATTTTTTTAGATTCATTAGTCATGGTTGCAGTCATAAACAAGTTTATGGTGTGGAATCTGCTTAAAAGCATCATATAAGCTGTCAAAATGAAGTGTTTGTTCCCTGTGCATAAAACTGCAAATGCAAAACTGAGATGGCGTGAAGATAGTATATGGCTGATACAAGACTGAAATGCCGCTTATGTTTTATATCTAATAACTATTTACAGGAAATACAGTAACTGAAATGTTAAAATTCTGTTTTCACAAGAATGCTGGATGTTTTGATTTCTGTTGTTCCTATCAGGTGCCCAAAGAATTCAAGAAAGTTTTAAGATTATGATTAAGGTTAACTTTATTGGTCCGTGCGGAAATGCTGGAAAATTCTATCAATGTTTCCTTTTAGCAAAAGGTCTATTTTAATAGTGTGTTCATTCCAGCACTAATCCACTCTTAATTGTATTCTTTATTAATATTAGGGCATAGACTTTTGGGGCCAGTTGTCTATTTAAGTGCTTCCCAAACAAAGGGCTCTATCAGGATCTACCGTTCATATATTTTCATTTATTTAAAATAGTGTTGTGTTTATACTGCAGTATGTTACTGTGAATCCGAGCTCAGCACCTCTGCTGCTTGGATCACAGCTTGTGTCCAGAGGTGCTATACCATATTTACAAGATATATTTTTATTGTTACAGGAACATCTGTGGATATTGGATTGTATGTAGGAAGACTATTGTTCTGTGTTCCAATGGCTGATGAATATCACCAGAATAATGTGGTAAGTGTGATATTCTGTCATTCATTGGAATTCATTATGTGCCCTGAATTCTGGGAATAGTGAGATACCCTTTGGTAAGATTTTTTAAATTTAAAGTGTATTATATACATTAATATCCTGTGTTTGCTATGGTATTAAAAGCAAACATCTGCATAAAGTCAGTCAGCAGTACTTTCACTGCTAAGACGTATAACCGAAGCCTCCTTTTATGTGAGATTTTCAGAGAGAAGAATGTTATTTGCTGAAGTGCATTACTGTGCACTTGCATTGCAGTGTATTATAAGTCCTATTAGACAGTTTAAAAAACAGTTTTAGGGTGATGCAGCTTCAGCACTGAAACTTATTTCCGATTTTACTTCTTCCAGTCAAGTGAAGACACAGAGACGCATTGCCGGCCCGCAGAGCCAGGGGGCGCTGCAGGGCATGTGCAGGGTGACACAGAGCTGAATGGCCAGCCACCCTCAACACGGGTCATTCAGGCTGAGGATGATGACGATGAAGAGCTGACCCTAAAATACGGTGCAAAACACGTTATCATGCTGTTTGTCCCTGTCACACTCTGCATGGTGGTCGTTGTGGCAACAATCAAGTCTGTCAGCTTTTATACACAGAATGATGGACAGCAGCTGTGAGTACTGGTGCTTATGGGAAATGTGGGGGAATGATACAATAGCAAGTGTGTGAAAAGTGTTTGATATTAAATACAAAGCTAATAGACCACTGTCATTTATAGCACAAATGAAAGGGTAAAATTCTGTGACAGTGCAAGCGTCCTAAATTAGTATAGTGATATCCTGCGTTCTGCTTTTGTAAAATAACATGTACGATATAAGTAATTGTTTCAATAATGTTTTCCAGAATTTACACCCCCTTCAGAGAGGATACGGAGACGGTGGGACAGCGTGCGCTGAACTCCATCCTCAACGCTGCCATCATGATCAGCGTCATCGTGGTCATGACCCTGATTTTGGTCTTGCTCTATAAGTACCGCTGCTACAAGGTGCGCTCCGCTGCTATCAAAATACACTCTTTGGGTATTAATGGGAGAAAAGAGGCCGCAGTCTCAGTCACTTCCTGCTTTCACTGGTGAGGTCGAGTAAGATGATGATTGGGAAGTGTTTCGTGCTTGTTGGTGATGAACAGCACACTCAATTCACACTTACTTTTAAATTTACTTGTTCCATCAACTGTTTTGACTGACTTTTGCAGGAATATAACACTGTTTCAATGGAAAGATGAAGGTAGTATTGCTACAGTTGGTAGAATCAGCAATGCATGTGCAAGCATTTTTTTCTGGTTTGTTGCTGCATACAAAGAAAATGCAGCGCAAATAGAGTAACAGCGCATTTAGTAAGGACATGAAATATGTAATGTGGTTGGCAGTGAAATGTCTCTGTATGGATAAAGATTAATATGGGGCCTTAAATAAATAATGGACCTGTTCCAGTAAAGTGCGTGTGAGTGTAGACTTGTAGTACAGTTCAGATTTAATTTCATTATTGCTCTTTTGTAAGATTGTGAGTGTGGTGGTGAAGTAATGGAGGGTGTGCTGATCGAAGGCCTTGTTGAGAAGTGACACTGCTTGCAGAAGGATGTTGTTGTACTGGTTCTCAGGGATTGCTAGCATTTCCTAGGAATTAGTTTGTGGAACTAATAATGAACTGGGTGGGAACATTCACTGGTGCTTCTTGTGTCCTTGACTTGCGCTTGTATGGATGTTCAATGAAGGGACATTCCAAGCTGTAATCTTAGCAGAACAGAAAGTTGTGATGCAATTTGCTTTTGTAAAAGGCAGGTTTGTCCTTCAAATCTGCAGTAGAAACTGTTCAGTCTACAGTTCTTGTTAATGGAAATAATACTCTGCTTGCAAAAATGCAATGAATACCTGTGGCTTTGTTGTCCTACTAATATATGCTAGAGCAGTGTTTCCTAACCCAGTCCTTGGGGACCCACAAATAGTCCATATTCTCTCTCCCTCCCAGCTTTCAGCCAGTCAAGAACACTGGGTAGCTGGTATAGGTGTGTTATGAACTGAGAGGGAGCAAAAATGTGGACTTTCGGAGGGTCCCTGAGCACTGGATTGGGAAGCACTGTGCTAGAGAGTATTAGAGGCATATGACCATATTATATGGGGGAAATCAGTCTTTTACTGTACATGCCTGTACAGGTGGTGTGCTGGGTGGGTCATGTTTGCCCCAGGAGATGTTCCAAGAATGCTGGCTTGGGGTGGGAGAATAAATTAAATGTGTGTGTCTGGGAATGTTCACTGCAATACAGTGTTTCCATTACTGTGTGAAGCATGAATGAGGTTAAAAGAAGCAGGATATTGGAAACAATTGTTACAAATTGCAAGTTTCATGAATAGTAGCCCGCAAAGCATTATTACATTGCCCTTAAATGAATCACGATGCTAGTTAACCAATCCTGATAGTTGCTGGTATAGGGCAGGCCTGAAATTCTTCATTGGTTATCATATTTTATCATGCTAGCCTTCAGGCAGAATCATTGCTGGTCTATCAGGGAGTACCTTTCAAATACCAGTTAGAATGGAATAAGTAAGACCAGCCCTAATGGTTTCCGGTTATTATTCAGCTGCCGTTTATTGTTAAGTACTGTACTGCAC